TTGTATAATTTATATAAAAATGTAGAAAAATTAAAATAACTGTCTTTATATATTACTTAACGCTTATATCAGATATTCTAAAAATAGAATATTCTTTAATAATAATTAAAGAATGCAATAGAAAAAAAAAATGAGAATTAACTTATAATACATATAAAAATAACAAAAAAATATACGCAGATATATAGTAGGAAAAATACTCAAATCCTCTTAAATCCTATAATATATCCGCACGTAGAATGTATGCATATATCGTACCTGCGTGCGATACGCGTCGCCCTTCCTCGCTGGAATCGTAGCCGCTGGAGCCGTCGCGATTCCGCGAGCTGGGTGGCAGGACGCGCGGCAGGCCGAATTTTAAATAAGTATAAGAGTTATTGGCAAGTGGGCTCTTGGGCCCGTATCGCGGATGTCGCAGGATGCTCTGCACAGTGGAGTCGCGAAGTTGGAAATTTCCGTAAGGCAACGGCGACTTTTCTGCCGAGCCGAGCGCGGAGTCCGTGAAGTCCGAGTTCAGATTTTGCCTGGGAGAATATTTTTATAATATTTCATTATAAAATAATATTATTATTATATAAAAAATACAAATGAGAATAATACGATTATTCTTCTTAATTTGTCAAAGATTACTTAATAATATTCATTACATTTGAGAGAGATATTTATAATATAATAATGCCATGTATATAGTGCGCTGTAAATGAACAAGCCCGACAAAGCGATTCCTTTCACGTAGCACGTAGTAAAAAAAATTCACCGTGGGCATTCGCTTTGGTGTTCCGCCTCCGGTGAGGCTCAAATTGGACGATGTACGACGTGGATTACACGCTTCCACTTTAAGTACAAGTGTGTTCACCTGTAAATCGACCATGCGTGCAAATCCTCGCTGGCTGGCGGCTCCAGTCCCCTGGTGTCCAGAGCTCCCGGCACCGAGTATCTTCTCTCCAGCTCCCAGGCTTCCGAGCCCATATTTTCCGTTGACTGCGCAGAGATCATAGAGGCGATCGATTAAATCCGTGAATTAATCTAAGAGAATGTTTCGTCTTTCTTATTTTAATTACCACGCTTTAACGCCGCTGAAGGGGAAAGTCAGCAAAAGGAACATTCTCTTCTACGAGTATTTTTGTCAATGATCGGAAATTGAAGCGATCATTACTATTTTATTATAATTTTACACAAAAGTATTTATACATAAATAGGGCAAAAAAGAAAAGATATTATCTGAAAAAAGATACGATTAACTACAAAATTGATCGAATACTTTAGGAATTTTTAATATAGAGGGAAAAGAGAGGAAGAAGAAAGAGAGCAAGTATGCAAAGAATATATTTTTATATACTCTATTACAAAAATATAAATAATATATTTCTAAAATAACATTTTTCTCTAAATAATTTTTTTGATATTATAATACTTTTACTTTTGAATACAATCTCGTGAGACTTATCATAAGTATCCTCGATATAAGAATTCTACTATAATTTCTGTGTTGAAAAAAAGTCGCATAGTCAATATGTGTATTCGCGACGAGAGAGAAGATAGATTAAATCGAGAATATGAAAAGGGAAAACGTTCATACAACGAACATCTCCTCATGTGAAAAATCCTCCGACACATTCGGTTTGGATTTATCGCTATTGCGTCCGCGAGGCTGTCCGCGCGCGATCAAATTTATCGCGCAACACAAGTCGGGGGGGGGACTGTTATTAAAGGATCCCCGCGCGTACAAGAAGGAATTCTCTTCCTCCGCCGCATATCTACTCGGCTCGTCCTGAAAAGTCCTGCGGATACCTGTGGCCGGAATAACGACGATTTGCCTCACAAGCAAGAGCGCCGAGGCAATTTCAAAGGCGCGCCGATTATTCGCGCAGCTCCTTGGAATGCCGGCGGCGTGATTCTCAGCGATTATACACCGTGTCCGAATATAACCGCATCCGTCACCGCGATTTTATAACAGATTTATTCCTGTTGTTCGAGAAAATCAAGAAACGTGTGAAACGGAGAGAGAAAGGGAGGGAGATTCTTTGTAAGGAAAAAGAAAATAGAGTTAGGAAGAAAGAGCTAGGAGAAAAAAAAAAGACTTTGTGATATAAAATTTCAATAAAGGCCAATTGTAGGCTTTATCGTATCTACCATCCAGGAACGCTCCGACGCGTTTTCTTCCCTATATTAAATTATAGTACAGCAATTTTTCGCGTTCAAGAAAGATGCAATATATTTCTTCTCCTAGAAAATTCGAAACTTTTTCAATAAGTTGCACGACGCGTTCTCCCTACATATTCTTTCCACCGATGAAAAACTGAAGATGGAACTATCGTGACGGAGTTTCTTGCCGTCGACGAACAAAGGAATACGGCCTCGTCGAATTTTATCGCGATGTAGCAAATTGTTCTTGTGCTTGCGTTCGATCGTCCATAAAGAAACGCGGGGGCCGCAGAGAATGCATCTTCGGTACACACTGTATAATCTCGATGTATGCTTGTCTGCGTGCCTCTGCATTGTTAAGCATTTACAAATTTTTTCTCTCTCTTTCTCTCATGCTATTTTATAGCTTAAATAATTTTGTATCTTGATCGTTAAAATACTTTCAAGCAATTCGCATTTTTTGAATTTTGGAATATGCATAAAAGATTTCATTGCGGCGTGATATCAACTTTATGAAACTATTACTTCAGAAAGCATTTGCGTTCGCGAGTTTTACAAAGTGCGCGTGCGTTGTGGTATAGATATAGTGTGACCGGCGTAAATATACAGGAAATTAGAGTCCGTGGTAATATCATAGTGTATATAACAGTACGTTTAATGATGCAATTAATAAAAGCGGCACGGCAAAATGTCAGGTGGTTACCGGAGCAGGCTTTAAATAGCCGAGGAGTTGATAAATTCTAGTTTTCGTATTTCGTCTTTCTTTTAACCGCGGCATTCTAGATTGATTACGAGACACAAGCGAATAATACTCGTTTCCTTGCAGAATCTCACTGACATACACTTAAGCGACGATAACTCGTTAGATGACATTATTACGTTATTATGGACTTTCTCCGTATACAAGGTCTCGCATCCTTAATCTGTCGTATCTCACATAACTGGATACTTTTTTCCTATCGTTATAATAGTTTCCGGTTTTACTCAAATTAACGGTTTACAAATTTCTTTAAAAAGGATACTGTGTGCATTTATTACTTTAGTCTTTTTTATCTTATTATTCTTTTTATTATTTAATTTTGTCTTTATATTTTTTTATTACAGCTTTTCTTATCATATCATGAATAGACTTTACGCAAAGCGCGCTCGAAATGCATTTTAAGTCCAAATTTACGCTTGTAAAAATATTTTTCTGAGAGGAATTGTGACCATGTTATATTATTAATTTTTATTCGTCTTCTTACGACTTGATTTTATCTTTATGATTGTATGTTACAACTTTACATTAATATTTTAATGTATTATTTTTATTTCTTTCCCACCTTTATATATTATTTTCTAGCACTTTATAAAACTTATCTTTGTTACACTTTCTGCTTAATTGCCGATATTTCTTAATTGGGTTTCCTGTTTATCGCGTCGCATTGCGCCGATAGAATCACATTTTAGCAAGTAGCTATCATAGATTCATCACCGTTATCGGATACGCTCAGAGTTGTTGTAGCGCCAGATAGGCGCTTGTAAGGATATCATCGGCGTTCGCGCGAGAAAACGCATGTATACATCTGTCTCGAAGACGAACACAGCATCCCATTTAACGGTGGTATTCGCGACCTAAAAACGCGGCCCGCACCTGTTTAATGACTTTTCGTCGTGCGAATACACGCTTATATCTTTGACACGTCGCGCGAAGATCCGTTCCGTACCGGGTGGCCGAATAACGCATATTCTCTGTCATAAAAGCGTTACGTCCGGACGTGAAAATCGATTCGCAGGATAATTAGGAATCTCGATTACAAGCATACTTTGACAATAAACTCTCTGCTGGAGTGGAACAATTTTCTCGCGCTTCCATCTTGATGAAACTTCTGCAAGAGCACGCATGAACGACCCGATTAAAAGGATCAAGGTTGTTAATCTTAGCAGCGCCAATTATAACGATCTCCATTATTCTCGAGTTTAACATCGGATTCTGTAGTCGTATCGCTTTAATGAATTTCGGAGCGTGTACTATGTCGAGGATATCTCACCGCGCGAATTTCGCGCAGACCGTGTATCGAGGGACGTTCATCGGAAGACGAGATTAAATTAATTAGGGGCGTCTGTGAGAGAGAGTCGGCCTCGAACATTTTATCTCTCTCGGCGGCGATACAAATGGAACAACGTTATATCGCGGATCGACCATTTCGAGCTACCTGAGAGAGAATCGCGGTAAGGAACGCATACATAAACCATCTGCTTCATTGGTGCGACGACAGGTTTTAATTTATCCTGGCGTATGTGTTAGTTCGCGGTATGCGTTCACGTTTCCGAGTTCCACGCGAGCGCGAAAATGTATCGGGTGTCCGATGAATATGTATCCAATATTATAAGTCTGTAACATTATCGTCTTAATGAAAATATTAGTGATAAAAATCTTTCTCGCATAATTAAATTGAATCTGTTGCGCGTACATAATTATCATATATTCCGAGAAATTTATCTCAGAATTATAAAAATTCCAATATTTTGTTTTGCACGATTCGCTTTACGACAGAGATTTTAAGCATCCATTGCCGATCAAGTATATTACTTAGGATCCTTTAAGTATGTCGTTTATGTTATTTATGACAGTTTTAAGATCGCGTTAGCGCAGATGTTATATTTATGTCGCCGAATGGAATGCGCAAAATTACATAATAACTCCGCTCCGGAGCGAGCAGTTTCAAACAACATTCCGGATGATACACGAGGTATATTTCTACTTGCCAGATGCTGATGGTATGACATTTCTTTACCCCTCGTCCAGGAGTTTCCCGTTAGAAGTGACTCATCAGCGAGTCCCTTGTATGAAACTGAGCTGGCTCAAGAACATTCACGAGGCTGTGCCCGTCCGTGAGAACCGACAAGGTTGAAATCGCACATAGCCTTATCAAAAAGAAAAATAATAGAGCGCCGAGAGTGTTGTTTGCTGGAGCTATGATTTCCAAAACGGAAATAAATTATTATTTCGCTCGGGTACGCACCGGGTGCGATCTTTCAATTTTAGAAATAAATTTTAAGACAATCGTCTCTGAGTTTCACAAGCGAATTTGAGTCCTGCAGATTTCTTCTAGACAAGAAGCTTGAGAATAAAACGTCGTACGACACAGTATGTGCGTGGAATTAATTCATGCACGCAAAAATAGCTGTGATATCTTCCGCGATGTCATCGTAACGAGGACTGCGATGTAACACGTGTTCATCGGTGAAGTCATCGATCAACGGATCAACCAAAGTTTTTCCTCTTCGTTATAAGCATTTCTACTGTACACTTACAAACAGCTGGCATTTTTAACTGACGAAGAAATAACGGCACAGTCTATATTGTATCCAACTTCATAAAACTTTGCACAATTAATCAAATATTTCGAAGATTTATCGAGGAATCTACCAACGATGCCTGCCCTGTCAAAATATCTCGAAACGATAGGCAACTCGAAAAAGGAATGAAAAAATTATAATAAATAGATGTCTAATAAGGAATAGAAGGATATTATAAAAACGATTCATTTTCGTTAGAATTTTGTAAAAAGCCCAAGATATAAAACCAAAATTTTGTTAAGGTATATTTTTATAGTAAAAATGTAATATAATTCAAAAGACAAATGCGGCTATAGAAGATAAAACGCTACAGAAGATAAAACAATAAGAATAATAAACGGTAAGAAATTATGCGTTTTCGTCAGAGTTGATGAAAGAGGATTTCTGGACATGGCATAAATCGTCGGTCGAAGTCGCAGGTTCGAATGCTCCCTGGGGTCTCTTCGTGTCATTGCATTAAGCAAACGACTTGTTTGAATAGCGCCTATATTATC